GTCTGTAGTTGCAAGGTTAGTTGTCTTTAGTTGCAGGGTTAGCTGAATGCACAGTTTCTTTCATACATGATGCATACTAAGGTCAACGAATCAATGGTCAATGCCGGAAGTCCACGATTCTCGCCAGAAGTCAACGCTGGAAGTCAAAAGTCAACGTCGGAGTCAACGGTCAACTGCGGAGTCAACGATCAATGGTCATAATAATATGTAAATAATTAAAAATAAAGAATTAAATAATAAAAATAAAGAATTATTATTTAAATCAAGATCTAAATCTCGTGGCTAGGAATGAGTCTCTTATATATATATAAATACATATATATTTATATATTTATATAGGGATTGGTTCCAATGCATCCGCTTATTTAAAGTGAGGACGTGAGACCTGATCTCGTCCGTTCACTCCTCATCTAATCTAACGTTCAAGATTGATTTATTACATTAATTAATATTTCGCGGGCGGTTTCTTCGTCACAAAATTCTCTTCCTTTTTTTCTCTCTCCCGCTTCCATTTTCGCTCTTTCTCGTTTAAGGTCGATTTCGATTTTGCTTTTCGTCTCAGTTTATGTTTTCATTTTCTCGTTCGCAATTTCTTGTCGCAGGTTCTCGTCTTAATCGGTGAGTATTTTTACATTTTTTTTTGTTTGTAATCTCTTTTTTGATTTTAGGTTTTTATTTTTTTTTCATTTACTAGATTAAAGTAATATGTTTTAGTTATTTTGTATGATCTCTGTTAGTTTTTTTTTGAAGTAAATCCATGTATAAAGTATATATCATCCATATTTTTAGGGTTCTATTTGTTGTTGTCTGAGTTGCAAGGATGTTTGTGTTTAGCTGCAAGGTTACTTGTCCGTAGTTGGAAAGTTAGTTCTATCTTGTTGCAGGGTTAGTTTTTTGTTGTTGCTAGGTTATTTTTCTATTGTTGCTAGGTTAGTTTTTTGTAGTTGCTAGGTTAGTTGTATATAGTTGCAAGGTTAGTTGTATCTAGTTGCAATGTTAGTTATTAGTAGTTGCAAGATTAGTTCTATGTTGTTGCAAGGTTAGTTCTATCTAGTTGCATGTTTAGTTGTACTTATTTGTGATGTTAGTTGTATTTTTTGTAAGGTTAGTTGTTTTTAGTTTCAGGTTTACTTGTATTAAATTACTAGTTTATTTATATTTAGTTGCAAGGTTAGTTATATATTGTTGCAAGATTAGTTCTCTGTATGTGCTAGGTTAGGGGTATTTATTTTCAAGGTTATTTTTCTATAGTTGCAAGGTTATTTGTCTGTTGTTGCAAGGATAGGTGTCTTTCTTTGCAAAGTTAGCTGAATTTAGTTGCAGGTTAGGTGTATTTTTGTTGCAAGTTAGTTCTCTGTAGTTGCTAGGTTAGTTATATTTATTTGCAAGGTTAGTTTTCTATAGTTGCAAGGTTATTTGTTTGTTTTTCCAAGGATAGGTGTCTATATTTGCAAGGTTAGTTGTATGTAGTTGCAATGTTAGTTATCTGCACTTGCAATGTTAGTTATATCTAGTTGCAATGTTAGTTGCAAGGTTACTTCTCTGCTGATGCAAGGTTTGTTATATCTAGTTGACATTTTTTTAACTCAGTTTACTTTTAAGAAATGGCTATGGAAAAATCCAATAAGCGTCAGAGGGATGATGACATTCTTTTGCTGACTGATTCATCTCACCGACTTTACGTCAAGCTCGTGAACGGCAGTCTGATGTTCCAGTTCTTTTCCCAAAGCTCTCAACCCATTCTTCTCCAAGAGTTCTGGTTGAGGCCATTGCACAATTCAATGATGACCAGAAAAGAGCAGTAGATAAAATGGGTTTTGGATATTTGCTGCATCTCAAATATTAAAGATTTTCCAACACATTTATCTTACTAGGTGTTGGATACCTTTGACCAGTTTAGCTCTGTAATGCGTTTTAGTGAGGGTAAGATCCACATCGATGTTGTTGACGTTGAGAGGTAGGCTTGCCTAGAGGGGAGAAGCCTATTGAATTAAAGAAGAAGTCTGAAGTTTGTGATTTGTTGAATAATTGGAGGAGTAAGTTTCAAAAACCTTCTGACAAATCACTCCCGACGATGTCAGCAAACAATTGTTGCAGTGTTCTAATGGTGATGAAATGTTCTGTTTTCATTTTGTTGCTTTGGTGGATGCTTTGATCATTTGATCGAATCAATTCTGCTGGTTATGTCAACCCTCTTTTCTTCAAGTCCATTACTGACATAATATTTGTTTCTGATTTGAATTGGGCTGATTACACTCTTCAAAGTCTGATTTCAAAAGGAGCCAAATGGGAAAAGACCAACAAGACTTCTTTTAATGGGCCTTCTCTTTTTCTCATTGTAAGAATTTATTTCTATATTATTCTTAATCAATTTATTATTATATTTATTTATATTCCAATTTATATATATAAATATATATATATATATTTCAAAATGCAGGTTTTATACGTTGATCGGCTGGTTTTTGTAACTCGTGATGTTCCAAGGAGTCTCCCGTCCTTTGTTGGCTGGAACTGTGAGCTTTTGCGCAAGAGAAGCAATACCGAGGTCAAAATGAGTGGTTTTGGCCGAGGTTTTTTTGATAATCGTATGGAAAACTTGACATTAGACTCATTAAAATCAAAACAGAAGAAGATGTCTGATGATTCTGTTCAAGTTGGTGTTTGTTTGGTTTATGGTGCATAAATAGCTATTGTAAGATGCATATGTAGTTAAAAATTGATATATATTTATTCTATATTGCTGCATAGTTATCTGTATCTAGTTGCTAGGTTATTTGCTTGTAGTTGCTAGTTTAGTTGTCTTTAGTTGCTAGGTTAGTCGTCTGTAGTTGCAAGGTTAGTTTTCTTTAGTTGCAAAGTTAGTAGTATCTAGTTGCAAGTTAATTGTATGTAGTTGCAATGTTATTTTTTCTGTAGTTGCAAAGTTAGTTGTTTGTTGGTGCTAGTTTATTTGTCTGTAGTTGCTAATATAGTTGTATGTCATTGCTATGTTAGTTGTCTGTATGTTGTCGTATAGATTCGTAACGACATCATTAACGTGTAGATGGTATCGATTAAAGTATTAGATGGCGATAATGTGAAATTTTTATTAATTGATAATTGGTCAGTACATTCTTGGCAGAGGTAAAGATGATATCCAAAAAAAATGCCGTCCCCCTTCACTGAGGGAACCTTAAGCTATATATAGTAACTTTTTAGTACACATTGTTCGAGATCTCCCATCATTCAGGATTTGTTCGAAAAGTAGCTTTAAATGAGCGGTTTGGTCAGTTGAGCCCGCTATCATCATGACGTTGGGCGCGAGTTATAAGGAGGTCGTGTGGGTGCCTTATCACCTGCTTGGATATTGATGAACTCGGTCACTTCCGAGGTGGGTCGAGGTGGGTTGTGGTGTCGGTAGACAATGGTGAGATTTTGGGAAGTCGGTCATGTTGGAAAAGTACTTTAATCAATAAATTTTATGATAAATTATCAATTAAATAAAGTTACATCTAACTGAATATATCATATGATATATAAATATAACTTGAATGAAAAAAAAAAAGAATATTTACCAACAATGTTATACGAAAATTTGACCAAATTTATATATGTATAAATGTTTAATATGACTAAGTTTATAATATTATTTTTCATCTACATCACGCATTGGAGATAACTATTATTATATTATGGTTCGACCAAAACTTGAATTTAATATATACTAGTACGACACCCGTGTACTACACGGGTTATTTGAAAAAATATATATAAAACATAAAAAAAAAAAAAACACATGAACTATTTCAATGTATTTGTATAGATATTCTAAAAAGATTTAAATAATTTATTTACCATGGTGTTAATCAAAATTTATTTTATTTTTATTTCAACTATTTAAAATATATTAGAAAGATCATGTAATATTCTATAACTATTTCAATGTATTTTTATAGATATTATAAAAATATTAAATAATTATTTGCCATGGTTGGATTGAAAAGATATAATATGCAAGTGGCTATAATTTTTTTGTAAAATTATAGTATTTTTTTAATTTAAACTATATAAGAAAGTTATTGTTTACATTAATTATATAAATAAAATAATATGTAAAGCTAAATTTTCATTTTGGTTTACACGACATATAAGATAAGAATCCTAATATGCAAGTGGCTATATATTTTTTTGTAAAATTATAGTATTTTTTTTTTAATTTAAACTATATAAAAAGATTATTAAAGCTATTTTTTTTTAATTTTGGTTTACACGATATATAAGATAAGAATCATAAGATGTAAATAAGATAAGAATCTTATTTATTTTGGAGTTTAAGGATTTACACGGTATATAAGAAATTAAGTATTTTATTTTAAACAATTAGGGAATGTATCCGAACCAAAAACCGAAGCATGTAATGTTGCCAAATAAGCTTCCGAAGCGTGCGAGGCAGCCATTTAGACTCAGCACGTTTTTAAATTATATTAAGAGGGGATTTATAACTCATGAAAATAACTTAATTAGATCAAGTGAAAAATGCATATGAAAACTATACCAGTGGAAAAGGGAAAGATAAAATGAATAATATTTAAAAACTTTGCTAACATATATCAATTGAATTACGAATTTTTTATTTAGTCAATAAAAAATAATGACAAAACTGGGTCTTCTTCAACAAGATAAGAAGACAAAATTGTAAACTATCACATGTCTTATTCTTGTAAAAGTTTTCAATTTAGTTGTACCGTGTGTTTCTCAATCTCTCCCAAACAAAAAGATTTCGATTAAAGAAGACTAACTTAAATAATGAAAATTTGCCAACCAAAATTTCATGCAATCTTTTTCACCATGACTTTTAAATATTATTATTTTAAAAATTATATTTCAACTTTCAATATACTCGACACAGTTCATTATGTAATGTACTTTGTTTAATTAATGAAAAAAGATAATGCAAAAATTAATAGACCATAAGTTAAAAATCAATTAAAAATATAAATTATGTATCACATGCATCGCACATTCACTTTACTAATCATTAAAAAAAGAATATAATAGAACAGTTGTCCTTCGATTTAACAGAATTACCGACGAACTGCAAACACTTCTTAAACGGTTAAACCCTTAGATAATTTGTTGACAAACCCAGGTATCTAGTTGAAAGTCAGAAGGTAAAGTGGTAAATATGTTACAATAAATGAAATAAATTTGAAACACTAAATTATTCTACTGTTGATATACTCACTAATAAACTGCATTTGTTGAATTACAGATGCTATGAAGGGCTTGTACCACTAATCAACCCACATTATAAAGAGCGACTAATACAAAATCCAAGCAAGAATCATCCGGATAAAATATGAGAAACATACACAGCTGCTCTTATGTACAGTACTTCTTGAACCATACTCCAATATTAAGGAAGCTCTCAAAATCAGACTGCGGTCTGCAAGAAAATCCCATGTCAATTTCGCATTATTAAGAGCACACCATAAGAGATTAATTCTATTCATACCAAATTATCTTACCTATCGATTGAATGCACATCATTGGGAAACACAATCACCTTAGTTTCGATGCCTCTTTCCTTCATTGCTCGCGCATACTACAAGTATGGAAAACAAGAAAGCAATTTAGACGACGAGACATTATTTTTTGACTAGTTACAATAAAATGTATAACAGCAATTTATTAGATGTGCGACAAAAAAAAAGCAATTTTCGACGATTAAATCAGGATATCTTCTTTATGTTACATACAATGCTCAAATTGTTTGTTGTAAATTGTTATATCGTGAGCCTTTATCGATGTATGCATTTATGATAAATATTGTATAAGATCGTGGAATTAATAGAACTGCTAAACTGCATAAATAAATATCTTTATAACGATGCACTCAAACTTTTTGATTTTTTTAACATTCAATAAGAACCTTCTCGCAAATCTCTCGTTAATGTGAAACTCTATGATAGTGAGAGAGGACTTACTTGTATACCAGTGGACATTGGTACGCGAAGATCCTGAGCGCCTAGAAGGAAGAGTGTTGGAGTTTTGACCTGAAAAAAATTCTCAGCAAAAAGATATCAATCACTGCAGATGAACAAGCATATGTCGAATTACCAATAATCAGCATCCTCCATAAATACACACAATAAAGTGCAGAAATGAGTATTGAGAAAATTATGAAAATTGGTTGAAGAATGTATGCATTTTCAAAGATTTTCACGCACAACAAAATTGAGTTTTGACGTAAAAGATTTACCTCAGCGCGACAATGTAAATTTCTTGTATTCAACTGTGACAAATCATTCTGTTATTTATAAATAATAGGCTATGTTTGGTAACCAAATAAGCTAGCTTATAGCTGATTTGGTTCGCTTATAAGCTTCCTGACTTCGTTTGGTAGGACGAGTTTTTTTAAAAAGCTCGAGCTTATCTCATGGGCTTCTTTGGGTAGCTTTTCAAATAAGCTCTTTGAAATTTTCATTTCAGTTAATTTTACCAAACACTTTTATCATATAAGCTAGTTTTTGAGCCATAAGTTAAAAGCTATGAGCTATAAGCTCGAAAATTACTTATAAGCTATCAGCTAACTTATCAGCTACCTAGTTTTACCAAACATAGTCATAGTATGCATTCGTGAAATGTATATTGTATAAATTAGGGTATCCATTAGCTGATTGTTGTAATCCCTACAATTAGGCTCGTTAACTTATTTCTGTTCTTTCGTTTGCTCCTAGACTAGTATTGTATAAATGTATATTGTATAAATTAGACTAGTATATATATCATTGTACATTGTACTCAAGGTTGAATAATGCAATCAGTTTATTCCTTTTTTTAACTTTCAAAAATCTCTCTTCAGCTTCAAACAGCATTCCACGCATACAGCAGAAAATGCGTACCTTTGAGATATGAGAGATTGGAGATTTGCTGTAAAGCAGAGCAAGGTGTTCGGCCGAAGGAGATTCTGTAAAGATAGATTTTCCTTCACTACCATAAGCCTCGAAATAACACCAATCAGGTATATCAGATGTGCCCACCATCAAAGCCAGGTTACACACAGGATTTCTAGCTGCTGCAGCTGCAAATTTGTCGGGAGCCTAAAAATCGGAAACGAATCAAATTTGCAAAAATCAGCAATTAGTACATCGAAAAAGGTAATTACCAAAACTGGCCTTGACATCAGTCCAACTAAAATAGCTATTACAAATTCCAACTTCTATAGGGGTAATGTATGAGATAAAGATGAAGAGAAGATATTAATTGTAATTTGTTTTGGAATTGTACTAAATCTTAATTGTAATTATATGAATGGAAAAACAATAGTGGAAAAGCCGATTTCAACCTGACCAATCAAGTGAGTTGTCAAGAACCCGCCATGAGAGCCACCAAGCACTGCTATTTTAGATGGGTCTACGAGTCCTTTATCGGTAACATAGTCTATAGCAGTGAGTACATCATTGACATCCTGCATAAACCATGCAGAGAAATTATCACGCGATATGTGATTTTGTAGGACCAACCTCAAAAGGATAATATTCATAAAAAACAAATAATGTCAAGAACGGGTATTTCTAATTTTGGAAAGAGGGACAGGTTTTGTATATTTTAGTTAAGGAAAGAAAATGAGTTAAATTCAAGGGTAGTTATTTGGAATATTCCATAAAATAAATAAGAGTACCTGAGACCCCACTTTCCCCGGAAGAGACTGCAATGCCTCCTCACCAAATCCCAAAGAACCTCTACAGAACAAAGCCAAACCAAAGTGTGGGTTAGTAAGAAGGAACCTTAATTTTTTTAAAATGCAACTAATTTTTGCCCATTTCAACAGAATTACCCTGATATCCTTTTCCTAATGGCCGGTGTGAACTTTCCAAATAAAAAATAAAAAAAAGGATTGATCATGCGTTTTTAATTTGCAGCAAACTAGTAACTTTCTTTTATGTCCCTTATCGACCATCATATCTTATTAACTAACAACTACATCATGTCCTTAAGCACTCATAATTACTAACACTTATAGGTTTGATAAATGCAAAAAAAAAAAAAAGAAATCAGTTGCCTACCTATAATTCACAATAAGCAAGCTGTAACCAAGTGAGGCAAGGAAAGCAGATGGCTTTGTGAAGCTTGACAATGACACGGAATGAGGACCTCCGTGAAGGATTACAATTAATGGGTCAAGCTTTGACTTCCCAGACTTTGGCTTTGATGACACGTATATAGCCTCAAACGGTTTGCTTGCACCTAGTACAAATTTAAATTATAAAAAAGGTGATTTATTAAAAAATTCTAAAAAAATAAAAACAGCTCAAAGAATATGTACATTATAAACGTCGGTCTGTCAAGCGGATCTTGACCCATAAGACAATGTAAAAGCTAATAACTTTTTCAGAACGTACCAAAAGGTTAAAAAAACTCGAAGGATAAACTAAAGCAACATTAAAATGTAAAAACCCTGAAAACACTAAAACAATCCTCAAAAATGAAAAAACCCTAGGAAAACTGTAAAGAACTAAGGGTACGACCCGATATGCTTTCAGTGAAAATATGTTCTTCACTAGAGAAAGTGTTTAAAACATATTTTGGAGAGATTCTGGAAAGTATGATGTAAGATGGAAATCTAATGATTAAAGTTGATATGGGGTAAAAAATAGTAATAAAATGAGTGGTATGTAAAAAGTTGTAAGTGGGTCAATAGTAAATTTGATGGGTAAATAAGTAGTGAGTGAGTTTTAATTCAAAAATTTAACCTGTAATTGAAGAGATAAAAGGTGAGATGAGTGAATAGTGTACTACTTAAAAAAAATCTCTGGTGAGATGAAAGTGGTAAATATATGACCTCAAAAAGTAATAGAACGAATGATTTAAACCGACATAGATTTAGAGATTCATCAAACAGAATGAATCTTACACAAGTTTTTCTCATATGCAAGGCAGCTATCAAAAAGCAAAAAGTACAAACAAAACTATATATACTTAAAAAAACATATTGTTTAGAACCTCTTGTGTAGTTCTCAGACACGTCCCTGACTGGAATCTTCATGATATCAAATTCTAGAGACCGCAACAAAGACGAGGTCTGCGTGAGATCATAAATGGACTGCTGCTGAGCTTTAGGAACTAAGCATGCTTGAAATCATATAACATAAACCAAAATTATGGACACCTTTTCAGAGCATTTGCTCAATGGGCATGAAACATCCAGCCAACTCCATTTTGCATCTTCAGATATCTTCCCAATCAAGCTGCCATACTTGATTGTGGGAATTTCAACAGGACTACTGCATCCTTAAAGACCCAAAACACAAAATATCAGTAAATTGGTACCAAACAGGAAACCCAGTAATCTTTGAAACTCACAAAAACCCACTTCACATCTGTTTCTATATAACAAATCAGTTCGTTTGAGGAGATATCTTGTTTAAAAATGCAAACCTCAAGGTCAAAGGATGTTTGTTAAAACTTATGAGGGTGTTCTTAATTTTCAAAGGTCAGTGGAACTTTTTGGTAATTAGGATTTATCTGACGATGGTTTTTGTAATATTCTATATTTGTTCCTACCGGCAATAATATTGTCACCGTCCAAAGCAAGGACATCCCAAGAAGATTTCGACATGTCTGGACTAATCCTTGATAATTTTCCACTGTAGACATTAAAAAGGCATCATTTGTACTTTATAAGAGAAATTGACTGGATAATAATATTTTTCAGATTGATCGACAAAAGTCTGAGTTATCTGGATTACCTAGATACATTCACTGAAAGTATCGCTTGAGTGCTACCCCAAACAGAGGATAAAACCATCGTATTTCCATCTGAAAGCCAAGGCCTATTAAGGAACTTTGAGCAATAAAGCCCTGGGAATAAGCCATCCTCAGGGCACATCACCACTGATACCTAAAAGATAGCAGAGAGAGAAAATAATAATAATAACATCCCAAACAGCAGTNTAATTGAATATCATCAGAATAGACAAACAGCAGCCTAACAGTATGTAACTGACCGAGCAATGGTAATAATACCTAAATATCTTGCTCTAAGTTAGAACACTTTTAGGCCTCACCTAAAACAATATAAAGACTTGAAGAGAAGATTGTTGTTTTTTAGGGGGCTGAATGCCATACTTTTATTCCCATGGGCATCAGAAATGGTATCAGCAGATAATAACAAACATAAAACATAATGAAACTGGAAATTCATTGTTGTTAGGTAACATGTGAAAAGCCCAAGTTTAATTAAGAAAAAAAATCAGAACATACCACATCAATAACTTTCAAGGGCCTCGCATCCAATTTCCCAATGGAGGGCCACTGGATCTTATGAAGTGAATCTGTTGCTGAATGAGCCCAAGAATCAACTGAACTTTTAGCAGACAAAAATACAAGAAATTTCCCGTCTGGGCTGGAGATAGAGAACAAATCATAGAAATCAACTTTTTAGGAGAAAGATTAAGATATACATGCAGAACCTAAATGGCCCACTTTAAATTCATAACAAGCTTTTGATTTTAAGTGGTTATTTACGTACCTGAAGTGAGGGAAAAATGCACTACTAATGCTCAGGGTTAGCTTTATAATGAGTGAATCTTCAGCTTCCTTACCTCTGCTGACACAAGAGAGCAAGTAAATCAATAGCTATTGAGCATGACAAAGCAGCTGCAGCATATTCAATCACTCATCGCAAAAGATCAAAGAAATCAAGACTAAGAAAGTATTGACCAGCACATTTTATTGCAGAAGTGGCTATTTTAGTAACTAGTAAGATATAAGTACTAAAAAAATCAAACTAAATCAAGTGGAACCAGATATAACAGCTGATAAATTATAAACACAAAAAAGGTGATTCATTTGAGATGGAAACAATGAGTTTCTTTTTAGTGTATCCGCAAACACTCCCCAAAACGTTAAAAAAATAAATAAATAATACAAAATAAAACATTTCAACTCATATCTAGCACCATACCCGGTTACACTACCCTCCGATCCAAAAAATGGAGCTTTGACCGCATACAAAGCACAAGGCCTGTTATAACAATACTTGATACCCATTTTCCTACTATGTGATGGCCACCCAACAAAAACCAGATACTGCTGGCCTTCGGTCGGTGGGGCCCACACAACTTGCCCGACGCTCAACTCTCTTCCTACTCCCTTGACAGCACGTACTTCACCACTGAAAACAGATTTCCTTTCTTAGGCACTTGATTTGCAAGAAAGAGTTGCAACCGAGAATCAAAGGAAAATCAAGTTATTGTTTTACCTGTTAACGTCGATAACGAAAAGTGCAGGCTGTCTTTTACCGGCATAGGATTCTCCCCAATCCTCTTCCCAAAAGCCCTGACCTTTCCAGCTACCACAGTCCTTATCGGTGGTGCCTTCTTTTTTGTAACCAATATTATTACTGAATGTGGGTTTGGGAGGTTCAGGTTCCTCAGCAACGTACGCTATGTGATTTTCATCTAAGTCCCATGAAATGCCTTCAAACCTGCCTCCATAAAAATATATAAAAAAAGATATGGAAAAGGGGGGAACGATAAAAGAAACTAAAAGTACACTTGACACCCAGACCACACCCAAAAAAGCAAAAAGATGAATTGTGTGTGTGTGTGTGAGAGAGAGAGAGAGAGGGGGGGAGTCTCGAATACGCACTCTGCACATAACACAAACGCACAAAAACATTGCACCTATTTCAGACGGACTTATATATGGTTTACAAATATATATTTTTATATTTACATAAAAACAACTGGGAGGATGAAAGGCTTATCAGGATTTGAAATCTTCCCAAATCCACAATACACTTGAAAAGAAACTTGAAATGAATGTAACTCAAATCAAAGGTGTACTTGAAACCCGCGGATTTCGGATCATTCAAATTTAATGATTTGGAAACCATTTCAATTTCTGAACAATCCAAACACAACCTTATATATTGTCCATTTACTCTGAGATCAATTCCATTCTATGCAGGCATGCGTGAATTTAATTTCCTTTGAAGCCTAAGCAGCATCTCCATAAAGCTACAGAGGATGAGAATTTCAATATGTTACAGTTGTTTTCAAGATCGAGATAAGAATTAAAATCTCATGTTAAAGATTGCTGTGGTGGCAATTTTGACGGTTTTAGCAAGTATATACTTTTCTTCCTTTAATCAGTTCTTTACTTCAATTCAACATAAAAGTTACAGTACAAATCAAATCAAATTCTAGTATAGTCATTCCATATAAATGCATTTACCATCCATCTGAATATACAGATCCATGGATAGAGCGCGAAACTGTGAACTCTTTCTTAACTCCAGACGGGCCCCATATCTCAAAGTGCGTTGGGGAATCTCCTTCAGGATTTCGAACTACAAGAAGCTTTGATCCTGATGGAGACGGAACCATTGTAGACACACCAGTCATCTCAACTGGAAATGGGGCCCACTGAAAACTCACAGAGTTGTTACTCTTCCAAAAGATATGACTCGATAATATTGATTTCCGCCTCTTGTTGGACAACATGTTTGGCTGGCCGATTAAAAACATAGCACGAGAAACATCTTCTGCAAAGAATTATATAAAATATAACCAAGTTACAGTGTATGATTTTAAGTTAAAAAGAACGCATCTTTTTTATTTAAAAAAAAAATGATATATAACAAAAATGAGAAAAATGAATTTGAAAGTACCACTCTCAGATTTGATAGTCCATGCTTTGTCAATGGTAGGGATATCTGTGAATTCTTGAAGCAGCTTAGAAACAGAAGCATACTCTTCTTCGACTGAAGCATCTACACCGACTGCAGAATCTTTTGTGGGTATCCCTCCAGCATTATCCATGACTGATAAAACTTGTAAACTCCTATTTCAAGTTTTGTAAAATATGAATTGTTGTAAGCGTGAAATATGTTTAAAATTGTAACTGTTTAAGAAGGAAAATTATCATCAAAAACTTTAGAAGCAAGTAAAATCGATTTGAGGATAGGGTAGTAGGAGAGGGATATGAGGCATGAGGAAAAATCTACTAAAAGAAATCTTACAATATTCTTTTCAACTGTATCTGTTAACAATAAGAAAATGAAGAAACAAGATACATAAGGCAATGAATCACTTACAAATCATTCACGTTTGACTTCTCATTCAAGAAAAATAGATGAAATTCATGTTTCTTGGAACAAAAAAGGTACACTCATACGCACATTGTTTTCAATCTCAAAATCTAAACTTCGAAGGACCAGGCCACATTCACATTAGAATACATTAACGCAGAAATAGTTCCAAAAGAGAAATTGTGGGGCTTTTCAGACATTGAGTTTCTCCACTGGTAACAAGCGCCAAAGGCTGGTAAACTTCATTAGCTTTGCAATCCATTTCATTACTTTCTTAAAGAGAAATTTATTTTGTATTCAGCTCAAGGAGACAAATGTAAAATCAAACTCGTGTGAAAAATCAAAATCCTTTCTTTCTGATCACCTGCAAGCAACATCACCTTCTAAGTACGCTGGTACCACCAAACAACACGTGCTTAAAGAATGAAATACATAAATAAAATGAATATGCTCACATTGGACAAATCTTTCACATGAACAAAAGTAGCAACAAATCACACATAACAAATTCCACAAAAAAATCACAGCTTTTACGATTCCCGTGCTATAAATATTCACTGGGGCACAATTGACAATAAATAAGTCAATGCAATATGCACATATCTACATGGACGGAACAAAGTTTTCATGGAAACGAATCAGAAAAAATGATATCTGGGACATCATAAATGAGTATGAGAATTAATCAACACATAAAAAAATGCTTGGCAAGATTACCTATATATGAAGGGCCTGCCCGCGAAGAATGGTTTTCTGGCCACAGTGGAGACTGAGAAAAGAGAGATGGAATTGAAGTGGGACTTTGGTAGTACTGTATTGGTGAAGTTGAGTAGTTTGAGTCCCAGATTCGTCATAACCAAGAACCTTTATTTTTTTATTGTCGCTTTTGGCCCTAAATTATTGGCTATTGCATTACCAAGTTGAGGATATGATTATTGTTCCCTTTCAGATTATTGTTAACTTTTTATATTTATTTTTATTTTTAGTAGTTTAGCAATCATGTTACATACACTCTTGAAATTAATAATGTGAGGCATAATTGCAAATTAAACCTCCAAGTTTTGGCAACCACGAACACTTTGACGAACTCCTTGAATCCGTCCATAACTCAATCTATATATATATATATATAACTAGCGCGCCCGTGCGATACACGGGATGGTATATTTTTCTGAAATGTTTAACGTGTGAAATATTAATAATAATAAAATTTATATATATGTAACAAAAATAAATGGATTACAAAGAAGAGAAAAAAAATATAAATTATTGAACACTTTCTTTGTGAAGTAAAAATTGTGAAGCTTTGATATATTTGATTATGAATAGAAAAGTATGAAATACTACTGCGGACCGTTGAGATAGATGAGAAGATTTACTTAGAATAAATATTGAGATAATGATTTACCTTTTGCCTAGTATATATAAAATTAATATTTACATGATGTGGGAAAATTATGACGAATTATGACATAAATTCATTTAGAAGTTAGTAGAAAATATTAAAAAATTAGATTTATTTTTTATTTTTTAAATCCTTACAGTAATTCGTACGCTCCTTTTCATACGCTTAATTTATCAAGTTTACACATACAAATCAAAATTAATGCAACTCGAAATATTATATAACAAATAAAATGAGATTTTTTATCTAACATTTAGTATATTGCCGGAAAATCTTTTATAAATCTTATTCTCTTTTTATGCACATAGATATTAAAGAATGAGTAAAAAATTATCTAAATATGTTTAAAAAGTATCTAATATTATATGTGTTAACAATGTTACAACCAAAAGACATTAAGAATACGTAGACTATTATATAACATATGTGAAAGTATTAAAATATTTTATATTATTATNNNTAATTTTTGCTATATTTTAGAATATCTTTAAATTCATTATAACAAATATAAAAAAAAACTACAATGAAAAAAGCAAGTCAGCTAAATATCGATTTGTTGTACTCTTCAAATCACATTCACAATTTGGCTACAAGAAAAGGAAGCTCATTGATTAAGTATTATTTTGCCAATAGTCTTAATGTACAAGAGACTTTAAGACTCCACTTGAATATTATAAAACTTTTATTGAACATTGTACAATTTTTGCGTATTATAAACTTTTATTGAATATTGCATCTTATAATATAATATTCTCCAAATAAATATATCTCGTGTTTCGCACGGGTCACGTACTATATATATCCCGTACATTTTTCTTTACTCATGTATATAATTATAAATCTTGATAAATAGCCTTAAAATTGTGCACCCCGTGCATCGCACGGGCTCTGTACTAGTAATGTTTAATTGATGATGATGATATAAAGTTTGCCCAACTAACATGTTTAAAAGTATATACAATTTTATATATAAAAACACGTTTAAAATTTACATATTTTACAAAAATTAGACTGCTCTCAGTTTATATAAAGTTTGTTGCTCTCATATTCGGATAACGTATTATGCATTTAATGAAAGCACCCTTCGATACAAATTTATAAATATTAATTAAAATAATTTTCTAAATTATATAAAATTAAAATAACAAAGGTAAATATTACCTGTTCATCATGAAACAGTATATGGAATGCGTTAGTATGGAATGCGTTAGTATATGGAATGCGTTACAGCTCTCCCGTTCGTGATGGGTTTCAATAATGCGGGTGTTCTCAGACGCAAAAAAAAGTTTGTTTCTCTTGTTAACGGAATCAAGTATACCCCAGCCTGGAAGCATTATATTGTATATGCAATGAAAAGCCTGGAAGCATTATATTGTATATGCCATGAAAAATTATTCTCTGTATTTTTTTTCCTCTGAACTCGTGAATGATGAGTTGTAATGGTGGTAGTGAATATCCTTTTATACAATTTTTTTATTAACCAAAAGGGATAAGATAATTATGGATTTTATTTGGATAAATAGTAAGTCCCATGTTTTTGCAACGGACAATCAATTTCACATATTTTTTATTAACCAAAAGTGATAAGATAGTTATGGATTGTAATTGGATAGATAGTAAGTCCCATGATTTTTGTAACGGACAATCAATTTCACATGCTTAATTAACGGAAATATCACCATTATTAAGGAGAATATCTATTTGCTTAATTAACGTAAATTTCATGCTAAATTAACGAAATATCCACTGCCTTCTCACGATTTATCTTCCGATTTTAAAGTAGAATACATAAATAGAAAGTCAAAAGTCAACTCAATTATTTTTAGGTTTCTAAAAAAGGATTTTTACATCAACCTTTTTAGAAAAGATATATATAGATAAGAATTACTATTTACCATAAATAGTAACTAGAAATTTTAGGACAACATTAATTGCTTACTATTTTTAGATTTTTTTTCTTTCTTTTTTTTTTTACATAAAAACGAATCATCATATATGAATTAGGAGGCCTACAAATAAGAAATCTACTTTGAAATACAAATTGAAATCGGATATATCCTAAAATAAAGGAATTTGTTTATTCCCCCATCATACAATCCCATATATCAATACCATTAAATTCGTATTTTTTTCTTTTCTTTTTTTTTTTTTTACATAAAACTGAATAAGCCGAATCAGCCTTTATGACTTAGGCAGCCTACAAATTTGGAAATCTAATTTGAAATACAAATTGGAATTTGATATCTCCTAAAATAAAGGAATTTGTTGATTCCTCATAATACAATCTATATCAAAATATGGATTTTACATATTTTATACGCACATGCAGACTGCTAGAATAAATAAAAGCATTTTATCATTGTTCACTTAATTACTTATCTTCATTAAATGTTACCTTAAATTTCGAGATTTAGTTCATTTTATTATTTAAAAAATTCAGCTAAGATTTATTAAGTGTGTATGTTTTTATTTTTTATTTTTTTTCTTAGAAACAACAAAAAACATTAAAATCTCGGTCTCTATATTTATAAAATCTCAATTCAAAATATAACAAAAGTTTTAGAATCTCGGTATTTATATTTCTGCCTTTAAAAAAATATTGAACGCTAAAAATATTATTTAAATTGCATAATCAATCAATTAATCTTATTTTTTTGAAAATTACTATGTTTATTTTTTATTAATATGCATAAAGTACAAATAATTAATTCATCTTTAGGTATATAATTTATAATCTTAATATACCATCATTTGGTGTAGACATTTATTATATGAATCATAAAATATTTTTATTTCATAAAATTAAATATATTTAAAGAAAATAAGAAAATTTCTTCAGATCAATGGCGTGATTGAATTAGGGTACTGCCCAGGTTAATTGAATTACTTTTAGGTGATATTTAAAATAGTTAAATAAATTAATACAACTTGGTTGGTCCCAGGTGACTAAGTTATGTATCAGTTCGACCACACAAAATCGATTATTGAACCTAAATATAAATTTTATATTGAAAATATTTTATTACGTAAATGTAATGTAGTTCAAACTTCAAATAGTTGTATTAACAATACTTTTATGACAACATGCTTAATGATTTATGAATATTTATATATCATTTTATTAATATTTATGTGAATTAAAATTTTATTATAATATTTATTAATGTACATTAAATATAAGGTTTTCAAAACTGGACCGTCATCGAAACGATCAAGATATTTTATTAAATCATTTGTGGTTTAATTTGTAAACATTTTATTATATATGTATATATATAGTACTTTTTGTACTAAATTTAAATAAAATGTGTTACTTAAATGTCTAAACAATTTATAAATTCAAATGTTTAAACTAATTGATAAATAATTTATAAATCTCTATTTTATTTCAATATGTAATTTTATTTAAAATAATTTTAAATATAACAAAATTTATTTAGAAAATCGTATCGATCCTACCAGTCCAACCGACTGGTGTTGACGTATTTGAGAGCAAATATTTTATTCAAACGAACTAGACTGGTTATAAACCAGTTCTCGGTCCATCCGGTCAGATTGTGTCCAACCCGGTTTAATTTAAAAATAATGAATAAATCATGATTAATATTATTTATATATTAAATTTATAATACAATCGTAATATTTTTTTTCCGTGCATCGCACGGGCCACACACTAGTTAGGCTCATCCGCGAAACCGAAAGGTGTGTCCTCCACGAACACTTGACAAATGCACCGTAGGCAACATTCCTGACCACCACACACCACTGCATGCGACGATTGCCCGACGATAGTGAGACGCGCACCTCGGTAGCGGCACGTGGCAGTGGCCCGACGACCAGCCCCAGCGCAAGGCAGCTCGACGGTCCCCTCGATGCGACCCAACGATCCTCGGCACTACAAAACGAAAGTTAGTTATGACAAACAATCTGCCAAATGAGGATGGGAATGTTGGGTTCTATTAGGAACGTCAACGATGTGCACATTCGAATCTATCGAAATGAACCCTAACGCAACGGAATCTATAGTTATGGTTAGGACATTACCGTTTAAAATTTTTGCCGACTCTGAGACGTTTTCTGATTTCCTTTCTAGGAGATTGTCTGAACTGCAGAGTTCGTTGGGCAGCCGACTAGGCTCGTCGGGCTCGGCTCGTCGGATGTCGGTTGGGCTCGGTCGGGTCACGGTTGGACACGGTCAGCCTCAGTTGGGTTCGTTGTGGCTCGATCGCTGGCGTCTGCTGGTCGGGCTGGTCGCAGGTTGGCGTTGGTAGGTTGTCGTCTGCGGGCGTGGCTCGCTGGTCGTGCGCATCGGCTCACCGACGCGCTCGGGTGGCACGCTGCGGGTACCGGGAACGTCGGGCGCGTGCACTGCGGCTTTCCTATGCCGACGCAGACTGGGCACTGGCGAGGAACGCGGGCGTGCACTTCACGTTTCCTANGTGCGGCTGCGGGCGTTGGCTCGCGGCTGGGCGCTGACGATCTCCGGCGGCTGTGGACGGCGGCTGAGGGCGGTGGCTCTGGTCGCCGAAAATAATATACATAAAAGGGCTCGATTTATTGTACCCCAAGACCTTGGTGGTGCGATTAACTAAAACTACCGAACTCTCAATATATTATGATGCTCGATTTTTCCTCTCTTGGGAAGACCTTAAAATCGATGATCACATGTGTAGGGGAAGGGTTGGGATATGGTATATTTATAGGCTACATTAGGGACTTTAAAGAGGTGCTAAATATGGACTTATCCATTAGGTTTAGGAATCCTAATCATGTTTCATATCCTTTCTTATCTAGGATAATATTCCTCCTAAACCTAATTACCTTCTAGAAGACTTCATAGTCTCCTAACACTAGGTAATATTCTAGAAGGAATATTTCTCTCCTTAGGGAATCGAGTTATTAAAAATCTTGCCACCAAAATCTTGGACATTGCATTGACTCGGCTTAATGCCACGTCAGATTTTTGTTAGATTTTTATTAACGGAAACGTCATTCATGTATCGATTTGCAAAAATGGTAAAGGTGGTGCATTAATTTGCAAAATTTCAAAAGTGGTGATGAAATTGCAAAAACATGAAAGGTGGTGTATTAATATGCATTTTTGCCAATAAATAAACTACGACAATCAACTTGATTAAAGACACATCTCATTCAAATGGTATTGGGAGTAATCACAAAGCTAAAAGCCGAGCATCTACGGTATACTCCAACATTTCATAAAGTAAATAACCATATAGCCCAGCTAGGAGCAAAGAGCTGTACATGCGGCATGTTCCAATTGGTTGGGTACCCATGTTGCCATGCACTGGCATACATCTCTTATCATAGGTTCCTCTATTGGGTTATATGTCTGAATTCTTCGAAATGGACATATATATCAGGATGTATAGTCATATGATCTGCCAAATTCCAGGGATAAATGAATATAAGGAATCTGGAATGGGCCCAATTCAGCCGCCCCGATGTTGTGACAAAAAAAAAAAAAAAAAAAGGTTAGGCCAACAAAAAAAAAGAAGGGTTGATGCTAATGACAACAGGTCTACGACAACAAATAACAACTGAAATGGGTTTATCAAGAGATAGAATGTGTGTGGCAAAATCAAACATAATAGGAGGAGGTGCAACAGAAGAGTTGGTACAGAAAATCCTAGTGCACTTAAGCAGGTGAACTTTCATTTTTTTGTTTTCTGTTTGTTTTTTTTAACTTTCATTTTTCAATTTTTTGTTATTCAACTTTGAGTTTTCAATTCTTCACTTTTTTTAATCTGTTTTTCGTAGCAACAACCTTCTTAGCCTACTTTTGAGGATTCTATCCACTGCACTGGCCCTCAAACCTCCACTCAACATTGCACAACATAGGGTGATTCATTGTTTTTGTACATCCATACCAAGGTGTGTTGGACCATAGTTTTTTGTTCATGAACAAGTATTATTTTGGCTATGTTGGTAAGTATTTATATGTTGGGGATGATGACATGTTTCTGGTTGTAACATGATTGAAAGTTGACAGTCTTTTGCTTTATGTTGGTGGTGACATGGTGGTCACATTGTTTTGTATGTCGGTGGTGGTAATGACATTGTTATGGTTGTGACATAGTAGAATCTTTAGACTGCAGTCTTTAGTTTGTGGTTGGTTGCGAAATAGTTGAAACAGTCTTTTGTATATTGTTGATAGTTCATTTTTTTGGCCTTGAGCATTTTTTAACCAGTATTTTCTATATGCAAAACCTAGCTGAAAGGTGTTGGGTATTTTGTAAATGAATGCTAGATAATCCTCTTGTTGAATATTATGTTCATAAATGCAAGTTGTTGGAATAATGTGTGTAGGAATGAGTGACTGCGTTTTATTGATACTTTAGAATAATAACAACTAAAAAAAAAAAATCCATTGCTAAATTTTTTCTCAATTTTCTCCATCCTGCATCTCCCTCAACATTGTTGCAACTTTTGCAATTCGGTTTGTCATCTTTGCTCCAGTTGATTCAAATCATCATCTTCATAAGAAACTCAATCTTCATGGACTTAATTTGACTTAACCCAATTCACTGAGATATGTTTAAGTCAAGAAAGAAAACTACATTTATTGTACTGGACAATTGCGAAATAGCTTGCTAACTGTTTCTTTTGTAGAATCAACAACCCTAATTTGAGCAAAAGTGTTGCAATAACACTTATGGTTCATATACCTTAAATCTATACTCTCATTCTTCATCGCCTTTGATTTTTGGGAATATATTTTCAACTTTCATTTTTTCATTTAAAAAAAATATTAAAGTTGAAAAAAAAATTTGGCCAGAGAAATGCGTACATGTTGCTGTTTTGCGCAAAAAATCTTGGTGAAAACGCGAAAATGGGTGTGGAAATTGCACACAGGTTGCTCTTTTAAATGCTACTAAGGGGGTAAAGCGGTACTTTGACAGGCTCCTACAGTGAAATATGAACAAATAGTCGCACAACGAGCGCGTCCAACATACTTCTGTCATCTTAAACGATCTTAAACGATTTTAGGTGAATTGCGCATGCAAAAATACAATACAAGAAGATTTGATACAGTTTTTGAAATATTAAAGAAAAACGTGCAAACTTCATAATAAGGGTAATATATATTTTACCCAAATAAAAAATGATTACTATGCTATTTACTTTCAGTTCCCATAGTATGATTAAATGACGTCAGCCCGATAGAACCATTCCTCTCCGTTTACAGCCTCAAATATGGTCATCACCGCTTGACGAGTGCAGCTGATTGGCTGATCAGATCGACGGTGACAAATAGCAAATTTACGCATTTACCCTTCTTTTCTCTCTCTCTCTCTCGCACAGCCATAAACACCCACACCAACACACATTCTCTGCTGTGAATCTATGGGTGCTCCGAAGAAGCCTCTGATTCTAATTCTGCTTATATTTTTCTATTTTCTTATATGCGAAATTGTCGCTGAAGGCGTCACCAGGGAGCAAGCTAAGCAGCTCAGAGATGAGGTTATCACATTCTCAATATCGGCAACTCCATTAATAAGCATAAATTGGTCTCAGATGGTTTGATGGATTTTTGCCGAATGAGTTTATCTTGTTTGATGTAAAGATTGCTTTTTTTTTTGGTTGATTGGTTTGTATTCTCGTGTGATGGCCGTGTTTTATGAGTTGCTGTATTGTTGTATGAGGTAGTATCCACGTGAATTTTCGGGTTGTCAATCTGTTGAATTCATGCAAGTTTCTTCAGCTTGAATTTATTGAGTCTTGAGCGATTTTGAACTGTTCACTGGTTTAATTATGGTGAGGGGGTGAAATGGGGTTAAGGAGATATGAAATTGACAATGAAGCAAGTGTGCAATGCACATTTTGGTGTGTCAGGGGTATTTGTTTGTTTGTGTGTGTGTGTGTGTGTGTGTGTGTGTGTGTGTAAGAATGTGTATACAAGGGCTTTTATAGGAAAATTGATCTCTGCTTAATTTTATTCTGAGGGGAATAAATTAAGAATATAATTAGGCAAACCCAAAGGCATATTTTATTTTGTTGTTATATTTCTGGAAAACATGGTTTATCTGTGATGACAAAGGAGCATGAGAAGTTTCAAGGGAAAGTATGAACTTTCTTGATCCTATAACTCCGAGCTCCAGTTATTTGATTGTGAGATGAAACTTGTCTCATTAGGATGGGAATTTAATAAAATACATTTATTTGCTGCTAAGGAGTACATGTGGATTTTCATGTTTAGGATAATTACCGACTGTGAGTCCAGTCATTTTAACCAATTAATTTGTGTGGCTTAGGTGCGTGATATGTTTTATCATGCTTTTGATGGATACATGGAGCATGCATTTCCACACGATGAGTTGAAGCCTTTATCATGTGGAGGAGAAGATACACTTGGAGGATATGCATTAACTTTGGTGACTGCAACAACTGCATATTTGCTCCGTGTTTAATATGCCGGTGTATCTTTAGTTAACTTTAATCAGCTTTTTATATCACATTTCTCTATCAGATTGATTCATTGGACACACTGGCTTTGCTTGGCGATCAAGAGCGCTTTTCTACATCGGTTGAATGGATTGGTAAAATTCTTCGATTTGATATTGTGAGTATAGAATTTGTGTTTGTCTTGCATGATAACTGAACGTATCAGTGAATTTTTAAATATTCTTTTATTTAGTTATCCTGATATTTCGATATAAACATGAAAATTTAACCAATTTGATACACAACTTTTGCTTATAGTTCAGTAGACGAATGTTAAAGGTACTTTATGCTGGCTATAGTGTATCATACATGGAGTCAACGACAATACTCTCTGACTTTTTTGAGTTTGAATTTCTATTCTGGTTACAAGTTGAAGTTGATATGAAAGCTGTTCAGAGAAATAGTTAAAATATCATTTGTTCTTTTTNTCTTCTATTCTCTCTTTTGTTTTTTTTAAAATGACAAACTATCAATAGAAAAATATGTGAACCCCAACTACACATTGAATGCTGAACACAAATTGGGCAGAGTATTGGAGGATGGTGTATTGTATTGGACTGTTACCACTTACCAATGATAGTTGTTTTGGTTTTTAAACTTGTTCTATCAGTCTCAGTTCATCCCTCGTGTTACAATTATTTGTTTCCATGCTTAATGTTCACAATAATATGTTGTATTAAATTATCAAGGATATAGTATTGTGAATTCCTTATTAACCGGTTGTAATGCTATAATGTGTCAATATTATATGTTTGGTGAAACTCTTGTACATGCTGTCCAAGTTCCTTATTGTGACTACTATTACTCCTGTCGTTGAAAAGTGACTGTAAAGTATGATGATAACATTGGTGGCGGTAGTGTTCTTCAGAGTTAACTCCGGGGCTAAAATTTGAAGTTGTTTCTTTATTTGCAGAATAAGACTGTATCTGTGTTTGAAACAACAATAAGAATACTTGGAGGCCTACTCTCTGCTCATCTCATTGCCAGCGATTATAAGACGGTATAACTTCAGACAGGAGATAGTTTTTGTTAGTATTTATATTATTACTTTAGTTAGTGGAAGAATTTATTCAAATGAATCGCTATGTATTTGAAACTACTATTTACGTTGTACAGATGAGTTTGATCCTTGAACAGCAATTTTACCGGCGTCATTGTATACGATACTTCATACTAGATAATTTACTTGGATCTGGTTGCTGTATTTTCTTCTTGATAATATGTAAAACGAGGTGCATAGTGTAGGCCAATCTGTTAGGAGGGACACTACTATCCTGAAGAGCTTCGATATTTATATCTGAGTTGACTTGTTGGCTGATGTGAAGTTCCGCCTATGGTGTTTTCAAAATCCTATGTAATACTTGTTCTTTTTGTTTGGTTGAACGATTTTGTGTCAACTGGAATTAGGGATTCACTGTCCTGGTAAAAGAATATTTAATGGTGAGTTTTTGTCTGTTTTTTTCTCCAAGAATTTGTGACATGATTTTTTTCTACTGTAGGGAATGAGTGTACCCTCATATGATGATGAATTACTTCACTTGGCGGAGGATTTAGCCCGTAGAATGCTACCAGCATTCGATACTCCTACCGGTACCATCCATAAATTATTATCAATTTATAACAACTTTGAAAAACTTGATTCAATTTTGACTTATATATCCAAATTGAAGTTGATGCTACTAAGTTAACATGTATAACAATATTGAAGTTCCAAGTGAATCTGAGTGCGTAAAGTTCTTTTACGAAGTTTTTGAGCATTTTTCTGTTCTCTTAGCATTATTTGTTTTCAAACACCGCTTCACGCGCAAGCTCACTTGGCTGGTTAAACATGAGCAGTTCAAGTTACCAAAGTCATGCGCTCATTTTTAAAGAATGAGTATGTATCAATACTAATTCGTATTTTGGGATATACTGAGAATAATATGTACTACCAATAGTGCAAATGTGCAATGTTATGTTTTTTCCACTGGTTTTTTGGTAGTATTTTCTGATACTCTAAGTTATACGTGCTGCAGGAATTCCTTTTGGGTCAGTAAATCTAATGCATGGAGTAGATGAAAATGAAAGCAAGGCAAACCCTCTTTGTATTCTCTTCACCCTCAAGTCTTAAGTCTTAACGTACTGTGTATTTACTACTTTAGTGAATAATTATGTGATAAAGCATATTTACAATAGTCTGCTTTCTGCCTAATCTATTATGACTATAACTTGCGTTGTTATATCCTTTTCAAATTGTTTTTCAATTTCTTTCATTTTATGAGCTCACTGCCCCTGCATGTTTGCACCGCTGTCAAAGATTTACAGTTCTGTTCGAAAAATAGCTGTATAAACTGTACCTCCCAATATCTGATCACCCATACTAGGACTATCTGATCAATAAGATATGTCTGTATAAATTGGCCTAACCATGTTTTGTTGTAATGCTTCTTTAAATATTTTCACATAGCTACGAGCAGCTCCAGTTCAAGTCTTGTCTTCCATTAGATACGTGCAGGAAATACTTTTATGTGTTCTTGAAGTCACTATATATGATGATATTTTCTGAATACATGGAACGGAATGTGACATATATATCATAGTAGATTGGGTTTCAAATATGAAGCAGCCATCTTTTTTGTTTTTAGCATTCCTTTGCTTGGATTTTTATGTAATAATATGGAACATTTCATCTGTGCAGATAACATCAACAGCTGGAGGTGGGACCCTGACTTTGGAATTTGGGGTGCTTAGTCGCTTGACAAATGATCCTAGTAAGTAATGCAATAATGTCACCTTATGACCTAACGAGTTCATGTGTTTTAGATGGAGTATCAAACATCATCTCTTCTCTGCATTTGCCGCTTAAGTTTCTATGTTTCCTATAGTTCATGTCAGCCTAAAGTAAATACATTTTGATAAGATGTAAGCACTGTTTTCTAATTCAAGAACACAATCTCCTGGAGCTTTCGGAGGATTTCATTGAGAATTACATTTAATTTTTTTTTAAGAAAAAAAAAAAGAGATGTCCTGTTAGTTGTAATGATCTATGATAAAGCAAACACAAGATAATGTAGTTTAGCATACTAATTTTTGGGTGAACACTGTTTTTGTGGCTGATCTATTTTTGAGCAAAAGAAAGGTAATGAGTATGACCGTATAACCTAGTTTGAAATTTGATATTATGGTGTATGTTTCTAATTTCCTAAATATTTCCTATGTGGAATGTAGTTTTTGAACAAGTCACGAAGAATGCAGTTCGAGGACTCTGGGCTCGTCGTTCAAGGATTAACCTTGTTGGTGCCCATATTGATGTCTTCTCTGGTGAATGGACTCAGAAGGTCATTCATTCGACCCAGTGATGCGTTCTTTGAGTTATCCATATGTATGATTAGATAAATGTAATCAGCCAAAAATAGTTGACACGTTGTTTTACTGTTGTATTGCAGGATGCTGGAATAGGAACGAGTATAGACTCTTTTTACGAGTATCTACTGAAGGTGAATTCTCTTCTTTGGGAACTGTGAACTGTAATGCTGTACTTTATTATGTTTAGTTTATGTGATTTGATTTTCATTTTTTTAATATTTCTTGGTAAACACAATCTTGCTCCATGGCTTTTAGTTCCTAGAGAATTATTACCCAATAAATTTTGTGGTTATCTAATTTGCATGCACTTGTATCTTAGTTTTTGCAAAACCATTGCAGTCTCGTTGATTAAAAAGAATTNAAAAAAGGAAAATGGAAAATGATTGATTGAGAGAAGACAATAATTCTTTGCCAAGTGGTGCTCTGACACAATATTAATAAAAAGTTGGCTGGACGAGAAATATATTACATCTTTTCTGCTTTGTTCGTATTCGCTCATATTACATATATTTGCTCATAATACGTCTGTTATTGAAAAAAGCACGGGATCTTGACATTCTGCTCTGATTGATATCTGGCATCAGGCTTATTTATTATTTGGTGATGAAGAGTATCTTTTCATTTTCCAAGAAGCATACAAGGCTGCAATGCTCTATCTTTTTAAGGACCCTTGGTGAGTAGATTGACCACCTTTCCCATTTTTGTATTTCATCAGCCTTGTTCAACTGCTCGTCTTTATTCACTTTTCTCCCTCCAAATCATTAAGAGTACCTTTCTGATGCCTTAAATTAGGTATGTGGAGGTAAACATGAATTCTGCTGCCCTTGTTTGGCCATTATTCAATAGCCTTCAGGCTTTCTGGCCTGGTCTTCAGGTCATTACTTTCTCTTATCCCTTCTTTTCTTGGTTATATTTTTCTTATATGCTGGTTTACCCCATACTTTGAAGTTGTAAGATATGGTATTATCTTACGTAACTGAAACTACTCGTGATCATTGTGGAAGGTCCTGGCTGGAGATATTGATCCTGCAATTAGAACTCATGCTGCCTTCTTTAGTGTCTGGAAACGGTATAATTTCACTCCAGAGGGTTTCAATCTGGCCACTTCCAAAGTTCAGGTAGATCACTTATTNNCCC